GTGCTTGCTCTCTCTCATTCTCTCTCTCTCAAATAAATAAATAAAATCTTAAAAAAAAAAAAAAGAAAATTACAGTTTATGGGCCCCAATTTTCTACTTTCATGGACCTCAGATAACTATTTTCTATACAAAATATAATTCTGTGTTATGAATCAGAGTTAATTTTTAATAGAATTGGAGTTAATTTTTAATGCTGAGAAAATCCAATAAATGGAAATGAGACATAACCCATGTCTTTTACAGAAAAGCTTTTTATATGTAAGAGATTTAAAAAACTATATTTCTAAAAAAAAGGATCACTAGTGTTCTCATCAGGTACCTACACCATGTGCCCTCCCGCATCACAGCTTCATGAAATGATCTATCTAGTCCATGGTGATGACAAAATTATTGAAGAACTCTGTCGTTATCTTCTCGTAAGAATGAACAATCTAGAAAACAAAGAATGCCAGGAAATGGACCTGGAAATAGGATTCACATGAAGTGGGGGAAAAGAATTAACATTGGTAGGATTATATTTGCCTGGCTCTCTTTATTATCTCTTTGAATTCCCATAATAACCCTAGAGGGTAATTTCTCCTATTTTGGAAGAAGGGTAAACTGAAGCTCCAGAGGTAATTCATGTGCTTACGCTCTTAGGCTGATTAAAACAAAACAGAAAGTCAACCCAAGCCTTTCTTACTCCAATTCCCATACCTTTTCCACCTTCCTGCTCTCCCTGAGAGCCCACTAGTGGTCACTAATTTCAACAAGCCTCTCTGGCTTCTACAGTCTTCAGATCCCTAGATGGATCTGTGGCATACACAGAGTCTTCCATCTTGACTTCGATGGGAGAGCTATAATGTTCAGTTTTATGATCCTAGTGATTATTTCTTAAATATGCATTTAAAGTTATTTTTAAAGAAAAGCATACCTAGCAGTAAGTACACAAATTATAAGTGCCCAGCTTGATGTATGTTCTCAAGCTAACCTACACCCATTTAGCAAGAATGGAAATCGAGAGACAGAATATTACTAACACCTCACAAGCCCCCCTCATACTCTCTCCCAGCTTAAACTCAAGATCAAAGAAGTCGACATCTCCTGGTTTTAGCAGTGGTTCCTGATATTCGGTGTAGGGTATATACACAGAGGCTGCCCATGGTCAGTTCATAGCTGCAGTTTAAGTGCACTGTGTTCTTAATGTTCTTTGCAAATGGAACTAGGAGGAAAACTGAAAAGATCGACCAGAAATAATGAGTCTCCCATCTCACACATTTTTCCCCCAGCACCCTCTATGCCGGCTTATGAACTCGAGACCCCTTTGAATCAGACGGACAACACAGTGACAGTCATGCTGAAGCCAGCACACAGCCGAGGCGCGCCTGTCAGGTACTGAGCAGAGGAGGGGTGGGCTGGCTCCAGGGAGATAGACACTGACATCAAATTGATGAATTTCTTGACTGTGTTTTCTAGGGATTCGATGCAAACAGCAGGCAGCATGTAAACCCATATCTTTATTAGCTCTAATTAAAAGAAATGACTCGGGAAAGGGGATGTGCTTTGATGTGGCGTGTGAGCAAGTATTGTGAACAGAGTTTGATGCTGTTGCAAGTGGGTTGTTCTTTGAAGATATGGAACAAAAGCCTTAGTCTGTTGAGAGGTGGCTTTACTTCTAAAAAGTAATTGCTTGCTGCAATTTAGTTACCCAAGGGCTGATGACATTTTGATCCTGAGCTCTGTTCTTTAAATGGACCTTTGGTTTTTTGCTTGTTTGTTTACCTGGGGCTTTAAGTCAGTTAACTTTTGGGAAATGGGCTAATCTCTCCATTGAATATGTGGTGTATATTTATTTTTTTAAAAGAAACCAATGATTGGAAAGAGCATTGTGAAGTCTTTATTCAAACATATTTAAGTTTATTACCAACATGTAGGCCCCATTTCTCATCCCATGATGATTTATATAGCTAAGAAATTACAAAGTGTAACTTTTACGGTGAATGAATAAAATAAATTTATTCTTCCTAGGAAGGAGCAGAGGAATGCCTGAATAACTCTTGAGCATGAACTTGTCATAAGCTCATTAATCTATATAAATGAAATTGCTACTTGTTTCAGAAGGATTTAGATATTCTGTACTATCAGAATAGATTCCCTTCAAAATAACCCATTATTCTGAATAGCATACCCCGAGGAAACATTTACATTCCTATTTAAGGCTATATAGGGCTTGTTTCCATACTCCTTGTGTAGAATTTTACTCCATTAACCTTTTGAAACCTGGCTCTATTTGATCATGTTTTCACTATAGTGTCATAGGGCAATCAGTTGGACTTCTTTTGACATGATAAAATATGTACAAGTTTCAATTCACAGAGTTAGCAGTAAAAACAGAACAGCATTTGTTGATAGTAAAGTCCGATTAGGGTGGGATCACAGAAATTTTTATTTGAAAAATCTAGAAAATTTTATGACACAATTTCTAGTTCACTCTGTTGACTTGACACAGTAGTAAGGGATTTTCCTGTCAGGGATTTAGGACCACCATTCATAAGTGCAGTCTGTGAGAACACTATGAAATATGTCAAAGCTCTATTCCAAATTTAAGATATTATTACTGCTAGAAAAATGTAGCCACTGACACTACCTAGGCCCTTTGTGTTGACTTGTGTGCAGTACCGAGGGGTTGCCCTAATCCGAATGACCCAAGACACACACTCATTAGACAGCTGGCCAAGATCCGAATGTATCTGTGGCCGTGGGTCAGACTTTTTTCACTCCAGAAAGTTGAAGTATTATTAAATGAAAATTGATGCTGTGACCATGTCCTTGGGAGCATCATTTTCTTGTGACCAATTTAAAAGTGGTCTAGACTCAGCAATGCAGGCTGTTAGGACAGGGGTCCGTGTTCTCCTACCGGAGCATCACAATAAAATGAAAACATACAGCCCACTCATCTTCAAGGCCTCCAAATGGAAGGGATCTGAAATCCTAACCATTTCTCCAAAACAGCCAGTTATTCCCAATTCTATTTTATTCTCACATAAACTCCTTTTTCATTTTCTGTTCTTATTGCCTTTTTCCTTCAAACACTTTCAGTCTGATTTTCGTCCACCTCTCTGTATAGATCTTTTCAAGTCTGAGTTTTCAAATAATATTCCTTTGGGCCACCTATATCAGCCTCCTCCCCAGTTCTCCTTTCCTTACTTTTTTAAAGTGCCTCTTGCATTCCAAACTAGTATTCATATTTTCTAAACATGCCTTTCAAAGGCATTGTCTTGTTTTCTTTTATACCTTTCTAGTTGTTTTTGGAGACTGGAGCCTTACCATTTAGTAGTTAATTGTAGATATCCTCAGGCTTTTTATTCTTATGTTATAAAAATACACATTCAAATGCTTGTCAGAGTGTCCAAAATACACGGCTTTGCCACGTTTCACATCATTTCTTAAAGGCCAGTCACTAACTCTGCTAACATTTCAGTATTCGTCATCTAAATCTATGCTGGAATCGAGATCAGTTCTTATGGACACTATTCAGTAAGCATTACAGGCAAACCCACTACAGATATCACCTTAATTGGAAGGATACTTACCTTAAATGGGTAAATTTTATTGGCACAAATTTGAGAATGGAAATTATCTTGACCCCCCCAGTCAGAAAGTTGTGGGTTTTTTTTTTGTCATTGGGTTGGGCGTTGTTTGTTTTTTGGGGGGTTTTTTGGCTTTTTGGTTTGTTTTTAGTTTTTTGAATTTTTTTTGCAGAAAAGTGAATGTTCTTTTCAAGGGATTTGGTGTTACAGTACAACATAATGGGACTGATTATCTATTGAATAGATGCTAGACCAATATATCTAGAAAGACTAGTTTGGAAAAAATGTCCATAATACTCTCAAACTAAATGAGGTATATCAAAATTTTCAATTTCATTTAGTGTTTAGAGAAATGAGAACTCTGATTAGGGAATCATGGGGACCTAAAATATAAAGCCATAATGTAGATTAAAACATTTGAACACATCTGGAAATTTGCAAAATGTACATGTAGTCAAACTGCAATACAAGAAGGCTTTTCCCAAATGATAAGATAATACTAGAAGAAGGAGGGAAATAGAAGTAAACATCTGTTTGCTTTCCTGGATTTTGCACAGTATTATATGCTCAAAAATACTGACATTGTATGATTTCCAAAGCCAGTTCTTTCAATTGATTTGATTTTTCTTTAATCCATAATCATTGATGTTAAAAATTCAGCCCCACTTCATTTATGCACTTCACTAAGTAAGGTGGTTCTGCATTCATTCCATTACAAACACTTAGCTTGCTTAATGCAGATTCTTAAAATTGCACTAAACTCTCAATGTAAATGATTGCTGTCTTTTTATTGATCAACATATCAGCTCTGTCACATAAAAGGAAGAACACAAATTCCATCATTCTAGCTACTAAACTAGCACCTAGGACAGAATTTTAATGTCTGTTCATGGATCCAATTTTTTTTTCTTTAATAAGACAGGGGAAAGCTTAATTTTCTTTTACTCATTTAGAATCCCTTCATTTCTCTCTCTTCTCTCCACTGTTCATTACACGCAGACATAATCCAACAGAGAAAATCCTTGTAATTTGCCAGTAAAATAGCAGCTCTAAATAAAGAATGATTTTTACACAAACTATGTGCTTTTCTTGCACTAACAAAGATTCTCTCTGTGATTTTACTCTCATGATATGTACTATGTGCCAATGTCCCTCATTAATGATATTTTATAGTCTCATGGTCTACAGCATGAGACTCCTTCACGTTGTTGCGCCTTAGGTGATGATGTTTTCAAATGACTCTCATTTTTGTTCTTTAGGCATTGTTGCTTCAATTTATTCATAAATGTTTTGGAGCTATATGTCTTCTTAATTAAAACAGTGCTTGAATATGTTAATTAAACATTCTGATATTCATTTCAGTGAAATGTTAGAAAATTACCATTTTAAGTACTCATTCTTTGATTCATTCATTCAGGAGAAACTACCGAGTGGGGAAAACATCTATTAAGTTGCCTGTCCGTGGGGATGGGAGGTGGGCAACAATCACAGCAACAACCAAAACATTAAAGCTGATGCCTAAACATGCGAATACACTTTTAATGGATGGCAGCCACCTTGTTCTTCTAACAGGGGTAGTCCTAATTATTTTAATGCTGTGCTTTTACTGTCACTGGTAACTTCTTATACTACAGATATCTTTGCAATGAACGCTTCCTCAATAGTTATATTTAAAAAGTGAATAGTTCCGGTTGCTGAGAATCAGGGCCACAGTCTTAAAGCAAATAGGAACTTCACTACATTATGAATCTGGAAGAGATGAGGCCATAAGGAAGAGATGGAAGAAATATTTTGCCTTATTTCTTTAAAGCATGTGTCCTGCTAGGTAAGATTTCAGATGAGACAGGGAATATTTTCTGTTAGTAAAAGGTAGGCATAAATGTTTTATTCATCCGAAACACTTTTGATTTTAAAAAAAGACTTGTACCATATAAAAACTTTAGTTTCATGTATAAATCAAGAATTTATTTTTTTTATATAATATGTTCGGGTTTTTATTAAACAGATTTCACCCTAAATTCATTACTGCGGTAGACTTGACAAATGTGTGCTGTTTTCATTTACTCCTCTTTGTCACTTTTCCCTGATGCTGCTTTGCCTTAGGTAGGTAGCCAGCAAAATGTGTACAGATCTTAAAGCCTCATTGTTCACTTCTAGTATTTCCTGATTTAGCCAAACTACTCATCAAATATTCTTCTGTAACAAATCAGATAGAAAATATAAAAAATGTATTAAAGGATGCTATTTTTTTCTTATAACTGAGCTCTTTGTCCTTTGAAAACTCTATGCTGTGTTCTTAGACCAAGGTGAAGGACAGGTTTTCATTCCATTGAACATAAATAGTCAGTAAAGCAATTGTATTTATCTTAAGAAAATTTGTTAAATTTCCTAAAAATGTTTGATTTGATCCTGGAGCTGTAGGGAAAACGAGATTTGTTCTTTTTGTGGCCAACAGCTTGCACTCATGTTTCCAGCTGGTTACCACACAGAAGTTATTATTAAAGGGATTCAGCAGGAGAATGTCAGGGAGTCTATGAAAACTGCCACCTCAGAGGGGACAGTGAAACAGATCTTTTGACAGTAAAAGCAAGGAAAGAGATCATTATAGTTAATGAATGATAGGAGATAATCATGCGTTTGGTTTTAAGAAGTTTCCTGTAGAAATTACACTTGTTGGCATATAATTAATTTTGGTTTAGGAAGTTTAATATTAGGAAGTATGGACCAAATATTAATTTTTAAAAAGTTATTTTAAGGCAGCGGCAATCCGTTTGATTGTCTACCATTAGTAAGTCCAAGGAA